ACTGCAACCACAGCACTGAACGCGCATCTCGCATATAAAAAGCATTTTAGGGGGCCCTTGGCTTTTGGGGGCCCAAGGCAGTCGCCTACCTTTGCCCAATGGTTAAGTCCACCTCTGATTATGAATGCAATTTTGCGTAGCTTGTCAGTGAACTATGACTCTGTGTAGTAAATGCTGCTCCATCTGAAAGCACGTGATGGAGATTTACAATAATCACAGAGCCGGCTTTACTGACAAGATGCGCATGACAATCACATTCGATTAATCATGCAGCCCTACTTTAGCGTTAAATGAATGTAACTTTGATGGACATAAACCCTGACATTTTCACAATCATAAACATAAAGTTGTGACAAATATGTTTTTGTTTTTAATTAAAAAAACAAACATTTGGGTATGTGTTACGTTGTTTATTTCCCTACCTGATCTCATGACGAAAACAAATATTTCACAAGACGCAAAATATTGGTAAGCTAAGTACCAATAAGTACATATCACTGCAGTTTCCAACATAAATGAACACTAGAGGCAGTAAAACAGTAAGCACTTGTAATCGTTTTTGTACACAGTTATGATTTCAGCTCCTTTTTTTCGCTTTCCGGACGTAACAAGTGAAGAACACTCTTTTAGTGGCACTCAGTGGACATTTCACTTCAAATATACAAAACGTACATGGCGGTATGTATTTCATATCTTGTGAAACATTCCCACAGGTACATTTTCGTCATGAGATCAGGTTGTTATTTCCATAAAAAAGTGATGATGTAATGTAAGCAGTTTGTATAGTCAGTGCCTACTCAAAAAACATATTTGGCAATACAAAAGCAAAACAAATATGAGATATGAATTGAAACTCACTCATTTGTTCTGACTCGAGAAAAAAAAATCAGGGCGAAGCAGTGTCTTTTTGCCTCCTTTGAGCTCATTGCATTTTCATGGTTTTGGTCACGTCTGAATCTAAATTAACAACCATTTTATGAGCGAGCCATTTTTATAGATGGCTTATAGTCCCATCTAAGTGTTAGTTGTGTTCCACATAAGCTGGAAACCGTGCAAACGTCAAATGAAACTGTGTTATGAGTTTACATTGGACTATCAGAAACATGGCACTGTTTTCTCTGTATATGTGCACATTCTTACTTATTTACTCATACGCTCACACACAAAACTCTTCCAGCAACCATCATAAACTTCAATCAAGGCACCATGGAGCTGTTGTGTGAATGTCACGCTGTGATAAACACATCTACGCTACAATAACTTTTTATTTGTTTTCTTGCAGCATCTCAGACAAGAGACTTTCAATCATAGTGGTGTTCAGAGAAGGTGATTATGATAAAGGGAGGTAGGATTTCTTCCACATCACAAAGGTACTAAAAGGAGGGGTAATTTAAGAGTAATTTAGCCTTTGTCTTAGATGTGTTGTGTTCAAAAACTTCAGAAGGCCTTGCAACTCGGATCCAAAATGATGTTATTATTGATTTGACTTGTCAATTCCCACTTCAGTGTTGAAGTTGAGAGAATCTAAAGGCCTGTTTTGATCACCTCTGATGTGACGGTTCCATCCTGCTGGTCTTATCATCAGCATTTTCTTTGTTGTTTGTCATAATCATTGAGCCAAAGTGTTCCTGAAGCGTGTCACTTCTAGACTCACACAAATCATGGCTTTCATGAAAGAATCCCCTGCATCTGAAATTTCATTTCACTCTTCAAGTAAACAATCACTTTAGCGAAGCCAACCTTTTGAAAGAAGCTTTCTTAGTTGAAGTGCAAACCTTAATTAGCAAATGATAATTGTATGCGGCACACTTTTCTTTGCAATCTGAAACTCGGCTCCGGAATTCTTCCTCATGGAAATTGCAAACGTCCTCCTCAACCCACTCGCCACCGACATTTACGAAATGTCAATACATTCACAAACACAAAATCCAGTTGAAGAGCTGCTTGTTACGTCAATGGTTGCAGTTCATTAAGAGGACAATATTTCTGCATCCAGAGTGTTCTTAATGTACTGCGCCTCAATATTAATATTAAAATCCCCTCTTTTATAAGTTTTCATGTATGAGGACCTACTTTTTCTCAAAACTATCACAATCCTTATTCTCGATCTCTCTCTTTTACTTCTGTACTTCTCTAGTTTGCTTTTAAATTGGCATTGCGATGCTGTGAATTTTGATGAATTGCTTGTGATGTTTCTCATCTAAGTCAGTTGGGATAAAATTGCCTGCCAAATGATTACATGTAAATACTTATGAAAACATTTAAAAATCAAGCAATATTAAAGTCATCTTTCATTTATATTTCATATTTCATCATATTTTATGATGTCAGCAATGTTATATGGGCTATAAATGTGTTATTTTGTAAATAGACAAGCTTATTGGAGAATGTTTTCCAAGAAAACACAATTTTAGTTTTTTTTAACTTCAAAATTGCTTTTGTATTTCGATGTGGTACTTGCTGTTTCTTTGTGATTAATTTGAGAAATTTACAAGCAATTTTAATTGTTTTAGTTGGATTTGGGCTAATATTTTCTGTCACAACTATGTAAACTGCATCACAATTTTTTAAAATGTATTTTAGATTGTTTTAATCATATTACCTTCAGTCATATTATAAGTTATTAACAATAGCGTTCTCTCAATTCATTCTTAATCATATCTAGCATTAATAAATAAAGTAATTGTTAAGAAACATTTATTTTTAAATATTTGACAGTACACATTATTTTATTTCTGTCTGAAGATGTTACTGATGTCTAGCAGTTATTGAGGAATACATGAAGAACATGTTTAACCAGTTAATCCAAAATAATGCTTAAGCATCATAAGATCACGGACCATTACAGGTAAAGTACATCTTTTTAATGCTTTTACTGATAGAGAGAGTCACTGCAAGAAAATAGTGGTTAACCTTCTTCCATAACCCCAGTACATTACTGTATAATAACTTCAGAGCTGCTGGATTGATTTTCTCGACCTCTGTGCTCACATCATGTTTGTTACGGCAGTAGCATGTCACTTGAAGACTAACAAGATATTGTCTTGTGGAAATAAAAATATAAATAACAATCTGACGAAGAAAGTACTCGGGACAGGTAGAAAAGACACGATTGACACGAACCATTCAGAAAGAGCTGCCCATCATTGTACATAATGATATATTCCGCTCTCTTACGTTCTGAACATTTTACAGAGCACAAATCACCAATTCAATGTGTACAGAAATTATTACACAATAATATGCCTATGCAGCCTCGAATGTAACACCCTCAAACAAAACTTGCTCAGGGATCATCATAATGGAGAGGTCTACATAAAACCGTATCGCCGAGAGATGGGAATTCATAACATTTCATCAGCCAGTAGCCCGCCTGGCAGTGCTGAAATTTCAGGGGAGAAATGTAAAAGCCATAAATGTGGTCTGCTGTCTGCTGTCTGCGGCTGGCAATGACCCTGTCCTATCATCCAGAGTGGTATTTGTTTAACTGTTTGGTTTGATTGTAAGTGCATGACCATCCGGTGCCTGAATCGGGCAAGACTTGCGGTCCAGTGGGAGAAGGGATTGAAACTCATCAGGGCTGGGCGATAAGAAAAGTACACAGGCTACAAAAGAGTACGGAGAGCTACTCAAACAGAACAACAGCCCTAATCCAATATTTGCTTACAGACGCCATGTTCATTCTAGCACATAGCGGCTTCTGTACATGAATGGTGACCTGTTTTGGGGGATTTTTCAGTCTTTTGCCATGTTTTAAGACTGTATCGACTAGTCCATATGGTATAATTTGTTATCGCATATGTTCATTTCAAATAATAAATATCCATATGGCTGTATTAGCATTGTAAAGTAGAAGTTAATGCATTGGCAGAAGGAACGGTACAGTAGCTGCCCTTGATTCGATTTATGTCAGGAGTAAAGGTCCTTGCACACCGAGTCTGAAATTTTCGTATGCGTTTTTTCGTCAAGAATCTAAATTCTTGCTACGAATGCAAATATGCAGAAAATCGAACCTGATCTGTTTTTTTATTATTATTATAATTTTTTTTTTATGACGGACGAAAGTTTTGGAGGCAGTTTGTAAGCTTGATTGACACAACGTGAGGTCGTATATATTTTTTTAACGTGCTAAAATTACAGACGAGAATTTCGTACTCCGTGTGCAAAGACCATAATGGATAAATATTTTTCATCATTGTTCAGCATTAAAATGATTAACATTAAATGCAATTTAAAGCAGAAGTGTGTAATTTCTGTTCAACCAGCATCACCAAACAGAATTGCAAAA